GGGTGAAGACAGGAGGGGGAGGGGGCGTAATGCGATGCTGTGAGTAAGCGGGGCCATCCATCGAGCAAACGATCCATCGGTGTCACATCATGTTCAAGTGCCGGCACCATAAGTAAACAGCCCCCCTACCTCTACCCCAACCTCAGCGTCAAGTCGCCGACCACGTGACGTAAGCGCCTCAGCAAAGTGCAATGCGAGAGTGAGTGAGTGCGTGTAAATATGAGAGAGACGGATAGAGAGAGAGGGAGAGGGAGAACACGGGCTGCAATGCGGTTGCACATGAAGAATGGCGTGCAAGCGTGTGGATGTGTCGGACTGAAGCGCCGAGCTTCGCGCTGTGTTGGTACAGCTCCGCGCCGGCTCCGCCCCGCCGCCCCGGTGCGCGCGCCGCCCTCCACCCCCGCCCCTTTGTCACACGTCATATTCAGCGCCACAGCCGTGGGTACAGTCGAGCTACAGTCGGGCTACAGACGAGGTACAGTTGGACTATAGCTCGACAAAACGATTCTACAACACACGACACGCGCGCGCTACAAAACCTTTGTGAGAACGGCCCGGCCCAGCTATGCCATGTGCGCCCCCGCAACCGCCGCACCGCTATCCACCAAGCCCCGCAAATTATGCAAACAAAATAGATGTGTACGCATTCCCCACCCCACCCTTTTCTCCCCGCCCTGTTTCTGAGTTGATGCTTGACGGAGGGCTCCCACTCCAATATTCTCACGGAAGGATTTCATGCGTAATCAATCGGAGTCGACATAGACCTTCGAATAAACATTTTACCTACGCGGAAGCATACTTTTCTTTAGGCGATTTGTCTGCTCATTTGTCCGGATGCTACACTTGCAAAAACCCGCCGTAAAGCACCACACGTCCACAAGGAAATGAGAGTGCACAGAGGAGTGAACGGAAAACGGCAACGAGGTCTCGGTCTTTTATAGGTTTCCAGCGGGGGGTTGTCCACGTCCAGGCGTTGCGTTGGGCGTGGTGACGGCAGGGGCAGCGGGGGCGCGCGTTCACACACGCCCCCTCCCTCCCCTGCCGCGACCCCAGACACGTCCCCAGGACATGATGGCGCGGGGCGAGCAGACGCGGCGCGACGTGGTCAAAGCGAGGCGATCGACGAGGGCGATATCTTTTTCCTTAGCAAGGGGCGAGAGGGGGAAAGGGGGGCGGTTCATGTCTATGGCCTCATATAGCTCCGCCGTCACACAAACCACGAGACATGAGAGCGGAGAACGGACGGAGACCGACGACGGGCTGCACAACATTCCGCAATTTCGAAAGCCTTTGTTTTGTGCTCAGCATAATGCAGAAGTGCTGACGTGTACGTACGAGCTAGATACGCAAGGTAAGAGTACAGATACACTGATAATTAAGGTATGTCTGTATTGCCAGAGTCAGTCGTTCCAGTAGTATATACTTTCGTTTATAAACAGGAAAGAGACCGATAAGAATTTCTTTTCACAAACTTTTTACACGTGAACCTCCTGCCCATCTTTCCCTTCCCCCTCGTTGACCTCGCGGCGTCGGGGCCTTCGTGGCTGGAAGAGAGCGTCCAGGCTGCCGGACCGATAGCCCCACGCTGGCGCAGCTCGCCCCGCGCCCCACCACGGTTACCTTCCATTTGCGGCGACGACAAACTTTTGGGGGCGAGCTTTGCGTCCCCTCCCTCTGGCTGCGGCGTGGCGTGGCGCGGGCGTACAACCACCAGCCAGACCGAGGCCCCGGGGCGAGGCCAGCCTGCCAGCCGCACTGATACAGTCGTATTTTCTTTTCTCCTCATCCTCGCTGATGGAACAGGCGGAGCCCATCTCCCCCTCCCACCTTTCCCTCCTTCCTCACCACCCGACCCTCGCTACCGCACTTTCTAATAGAGATCGAGGGGACAGGGAGTCCTCCTCCACCTTTCCCCGACCTTGCGCCGACCAAAACCCGCACATCCTTTTGTTTTTGCACTGGTCTACTTTTCTGCTCCAGCCAACGTGCGGCTGGAGGGACGGGGAGGGGGTAACCCACCCTAAGTTTCCCCACCACCGGTCCAAATACATTGCGAGTTGGAAGTCAATTTTTACAGAAGACTTTTGGAAGCAGTTACTTGCCTGGACCCCACTGTCCTCGTGGGCGCGGGGGTGCGCCGCGGCCGCGGAGTTCTTCCTGGGGCGGCAGCAGCAGCCGCGGCAGCAGGGCGCGCCCCAGCAGCAGTAGGCCACGAGCAGGCCCAGGAACAGGAGCACGACGAAGGCGCCCCACTGCGCGCCGCCCCCCGCGGCCCCCGCGGCCCCCGGCTCCGACCCTGCGACCGGGGGCCCGCCGGGCACGCTCGCCTCCGACGAGCCGCCGGCCCCCATCTTCCCTGCGGACAAAAGAGAGAGAGAAAGTGAGGTTAGCGCTGGCGGCGTGCTCGGGGCGGCGGAAGCAGCGCAAGCAGCGAGGCTGTACCGCGGTGCCGGTGCAGGGCCCGCCGACGCACTCCTCGGGGATGAGAGAGCGAACAAAGGGCGCAGGCTTAACGAGGCGCAGTCGACACGTAATTTGGCCCACCAGGACTCAGAGAAAGAGAAAAGGAGGGAGTGAGAGAGCGAGCGAGAGAGAGAGAGAAAAAAAGGGGGGGGGGGGAGCCAGGGTGCAGCAAGGGCAGCTTCGGTGGGGAGGCTTAGGCACTTGGGCACTTTGGGATCCAGGAGTCGACACTCCTGCTGCCTGCCGATACTCGCCCGCCGAGCCCATCACGGTCCTGGGCCTTGGTCCTGGCCGCTGATCATCGGGGCGGTAGCAGGTGAAGGGAGGAGGGCCGGGAGCGGATGTCTGATCCGGGAGTGGGAGCCGGGCAGCTGCCCGCACTGCAAAATACTCGCACCTCGACTCACGCGATGTACCGTACCGAAAAAGGCGAGGAAAAGTGTCATGCACATAGATTGTGCGGTTCATGAAGATTTAAATTTACCAAGCTGTTGAAGAAGTAAGCTTTAAGGTAAAGATTGTATGAAACTGGAAAAGTCGAGCGAAAAACAGTGATTTTGAGTTTAAAAATCTACATGCTAACTAAATCAAGGAAAAGCTCTCTATATTAATCGAGGTTGGCTCGTTGCGGTTCTGTAAGAGTTTAAGTTGGATGTAACACTGTGCTTGTATAGAATTTTAAAGTTATGAAATTTTACAGAATTCGCTATCGTTCAGCTAATAACATTGATGTACTTCCAAGGCCATGATACCAGGTCAGGCAGTATACGCTACCTCACCGCGCAGAGCGCAGAGCTCTGAACA